TTTTTTTATTTTCTGTAATTATTTTATTTATTTTTATTTTATTTTATTTGCATTTTCTGGCTTGTGCAGCTGTAGATCCACTCGTGGGATGTTTGTCATCTTGCGTTTTACTTTTCTGGTTTATTGAGAGTTGTTTTTTGTGGGTTTTCATGGTGGGTTTTTTTTTTTTCATCTCTTATTTTAATTTGAAGGACACTACAGATCGTAACTGAACAGAAATCCATTCATTCATTTGAGTTTTTCTTCTTGTGACGTGCCCATGTTTCAGTGTTTCAGACTATTTAATTGATTTTAGTTTTTGCTGAGACGTGAGAATGAATAAAAAGGACTCCATGTCGGTGGTGGACTTTTTTTTGTTTTGTTTTCATCAAATTTAAATGCCACATTGGGCTTGCTATATCGGCCAAACTGTCTGACACTGACAGAACACAACTTAAAAGCTGTTCATACTCACTTATTCCTCTGTATTTCGGGGGATTGGCCTTCTCATCCAGCTGTAACTGGGTCTTGACGTACTCTGTGGGAAAGGTGATGCAGATCTCTATGCCACCCGCGATTCCACCTGAAACCACAAAACATCAGCACCATGAACACGAGAAGGGTGATAAATTAACCTGGAACTAATTAAAAAAGTGAGCGGTGGAAAATAAACAGCAGCTCTGTTGACACACTGCTTTGAACCGAGCACACCGGGCCTGCGTGGCTGCAGCTTTGGCAATCCTCGTTCAGTCCGTCCCCCCTTATGAATTACAAGGAGGCGCCATTACGTCATGGATCATTACAGTGACTCCGCAAATGGCTTTCTCTCCATAAACATTAAAAGCACTGCTGCCGAGGGAGGAAGAGTAACGAGCTGGGCAAAGATGAATCAACTGTTCCTGCCACGGCTAAACTACGCCGAAGGAACAGAGGGAAGGTTGTGTGAGGAAACGTAGCGACGCCTCAGATGTGAGCCTTTAATCTGCAGAAAGGAAGCAGGAAATAAAATCAGTGAATCCACATGTGAGCAATTCTTGGAGGGTTCGGCTCGAGTCACGCCACAATCAGTTTGAGTGGACGAGGATGAGCGTCCAAAAGCACAACACAGATGAGTCACGAGGGATGGAGAGGGAGTTGACATTAATTAAATTATCCAGTCAGCCTGCAGGGAGGGGCTCCATTACTCAGGCCAAGACCCTCCATTAACTCAATGACACTGATACACACTGTGTACTGGAGACACACACACACACACACACACACGCATCATGTGTTTGCTAAGAAACACACCGAACAGCCAACAGAAAGTCCCAATTCAAAGTAAACATGCTCTTTTTTACGCGATGTGCAGCAAGTCAGGAAAGAGACGACAACGAAACAATGAACAGGAAATCCAAAACAGAAGAGCCGTCCTTCTGCATGAAAAGTCAAATCATCAGGTTCAAACAGAAGAAGATTCATTCAGCAGGAAACTGTCCTGATTTCCTCCACCAGTTATGTGGAATACTTTAACCAACCAAGTGCGATATTACAGTCGACCTCACTGCTACACAAATGTTTAGTGTTAAACACAACTAACTGTGGCTTTTCTACTCTAATGCTTATATTCTTTTACTACACTTGTATTGCTGTACTTATATTTTTATGTACTTATATTTTGCTCTTGTTCTATTGTACTTACTTACTTATTAGCCTTTTTCTTTAAAAAACAAACAAACAAAAAAAACGGGACCTGAGTAGTAATTTCATAGCACCAACAGGTGAATGTGAGCTGGCATGACAAATAAAGTTCCTTCAATCCTTAACCCTCTGAACTCCAAGGAGTTTCTGGGTGTTTTTTGTCACATTTTTATCCACTGTGGGCTCATTTTTCAGTGCAATATGAAGCCCTGCACCTCTATAGAAACACAGCTAAAAGAAGAACTTAAAAATTTCTCTTTCCTGCATTGAGGCGTTTTATGATTGCCTATTTCTTTTGCAAAAAAAAGAAGTTAAAAATCCAAAATCAACATGTGCAACATTTGTGCAAGTGCCCACAGGTTTAAAAATACTGGAGAAAAAAAAAATAATATTTGCATTTTAAGCCTTTTTCACACTTACTCTGCACATCAGCTCTGCAAAGACACGTCACCGTGCTGCTGAATGTATTTTCCAACAACTTGCTGACAAACTCGCTGCACTGTGTGCAGTTTTGGAGCCAGGCTGCATTTATTAATTCCTTGTATTGATCCGGTATGTTTTATTTTCCTCCCAATCTCTATAATTTGTGGCCACGTTCGTCTCCTCCCTGCTCGGTGGAGTTCAGTTCAAACAGAGAGCACCTCAATTGTTGTGTCATAACTGTTGGTGCACAGCTGAGTCATGCACGGCTCTAAAAAAAACAAAAACAGGTGTAATTTACAGATTATTTGGGGCTTTGGGGGTTTAGACAGTTTAGACAGTTTGCAAAGATTCACAGAATAAAACCTTGCACCTTTCTTGTGTATATCAAACTAAAAAATTACATGATTTCCCTTGTTTCTATTTCAAATCAGCTGTTTTAGAAATTATTTTTAAAACAAGTGCAGCCATCTAACTTATTCTGTTTGATGTTTCAGGATAATGACTAGTTGCTAAAAGAAAATAAACAGTTAGGCTGTGGACAGTTGCGCTGACATACAGACGTTTTGGTTTGCGGTTATGGTGACGTGGTTTATTTGATGTTTCACAGGAAGCTCTGGCTTGTCTTCAGTTAAAACATCCCAACGTGTCATTTAGCTCGACACACTGGCCGCTGCCAACACGACTGTTATCACTTTGGCACCTACAAGCGTCGCCTCTATCTGAGATAAAAACATATATTTAACTCGTCGCTTACGCTGAAATGAGTGCCTACTTAAAATAAAAAGCTTCCACATGCACTAAACATACAGCAGTACGAAAGAGGTTCAGGCATTAAACAGTGAGGATGAGTTACCATCGTACAAAAGTAAAACTACATCTGGTCTCTGCGTAGTTTTTCAAGGTTCTTGGCAGGTAGACAGTCCGGCCACTTGGAGAACTTTCTACAGTTGTTCTGTGTGGAGTCTTTGAATGAATTTGAGACAGATCAGGCGCCTCCCCGGTGCCGTCCTGGGACGTATAGAAGCCTGTAAGGCGGCTGAACCTTGCGCACAGAACATTAGAAATATCCGTTGCCAGATCTCGTTTGTCTCAAAGACCCAAACAGCCTCTGACTCATCTGCTTCTCCTTATCCAGGGATGTGATTAAATAAAGGAAATCAATACAGCAAAGTGGCTTTTACTTAACGCTGCGCAACTTCTTAATGCACTACGGCTGTATTGGGATAAAAATCAGACGCTTGGTATATAAATGATCACATTTTACAACCAAATGTGTCACAACTTAAGTACAGAAGATTATAAATATCAAATAAATAAGACTTTTCTGAGAATGTTCTTATATATTACATTTAAAATAAATAATAATAAAATAAAAGTGGAAATAAAAAGAACAATGAATAAAATAAAAAAATAAATAATGTGGCAATATAAAACAATATTAATCAAAAATGAATCCATAAAAGAAAAGGCTAATAAAAGTAGAAATATAAGGACAAATAAACAAAATAACAAAAATGTATTTGTTATTCTTTTTTATTTATTCAATTTGTAATTTATTTTTGATTATTTTGATTATTTTTTTATTTTTTTAATTTTCAATTATTTTTTACTATTTTTTCTTTTTTTTTTTTATTTCCACTTTTATTTTTTTTATTGATTTATTTTAGTCATTTTTGCACTCTCACTACTCCATCCCTCAGTGACCAGACCAGTGAGCTGTAATTCTTCTAATCCTGCTGGAGCTGTAAGTAAATGTGACCCAGCTGAGACATCACATGAGCTTCACAATGCTCCATTCCAGCCGGGCCTGATCCGGGATCAGTGGGTCAGTGTGTCTTGAGAAAAGAAGAAACAATGAACCTTATTCATCTGCTCTCTGCCCGGACAGCTCCGAGTGTGAAAAAAAAAAGAAACGAGCAGCAGTCAGTCAGAAGGCGGCGACTCAGCAACAGACACAAACACCTGATCAATCCTCATCAGACGCAGCAGCAGCGCCTTGTGGAGGAGAAGCAGCTTGTTTGTCTTCCAGCCCATTCTGCGGCCGACATCCAACACACACCGGCGTGTTCACCCACACATTTACAGGTGACACCCTAAACGACTCCCGTGTAGCTGCCAAACGTGGGCTCCACGGTTAAAGCGACCATTAATCTTTATCTTCACAGGCTCGCTCTCCTCTCCTGTTCTTAATTCTTTTTCCCCCTGCAGCACCTTGCTTCCTGCCTCCTCGTGCCCGGGCACTTCCTCTCCACCGTGTGTCATAAAATCAATGCATCCACATAGATCTCTGACACTTGCTATTACATGGAGGGGAAAAAAAATTGAAATGATATTGGAATGATGCTTGGAATCCAGAAAGTGAAAAACGGTGCAGCACCTGAGACACGTCGGCTATTAGAAATTCTTTAAAAAAAGAAAAACCCTGAAATCTCCACCAGCAGCGCGATAAATCCTCCTGCTTCAGTTGATGCACTGTTTAAAGATAACGCTGTCAATCTCTGGACAGACAAGCTAAATTTATAACTTAATCAGCCCCCCCTCAGACTTCACAGCTGGGCTCCAGGTAATTCTGCTGCCGTGCTGACAAACGTACAGTATGTGTCTCTAAGTTACATCCATATGCGGCTGCAGACAATCTCCCTCCAGAACCAGAAGTCTTTCTAAGAGAATCTGGACCCAGACTGCAGGGATTTGCAAGAGCATCAGTGAGATGTGCTGCAATAAGGCCTTTGTGTTTATATTCCTAATTCTACAACAACAAGAAGCAACAAGAGCTTTTTGTGGATAAATATTCAAACAGGACCTGCTGGTGGATGAAAAAGTCAAGAAGCAGCTAAAGTCAAGGTGAAAATTTGCAGCAAATCTTAAGGCAATCCGTTTAATTACAGTCCAGACAGTTCACTAATGAGATGAGAATTCATCCCCTGGGGACCATGACTGTGATCCAGCTCAACAGTTGTGGAGATATTTCAGTGCTGATGAACAACAGACCAACAACGTCACCTTTGTTGTAAAAGATTGGGTTTGAGCAGCGGGTAAAGCATCATTTCGAATGATGACTCGATAATCCGACACTAAACGTAAAGCCTTCTTTTATGTCGGATTGTCAAGACGGAGGTCCAGATACAAGGAGGGCTTGATGCTGGAAGGCTCATTAGTTGTTAATTATTGTTCATAGTTGTTATAATAACTAGTATATTGTTAGAACACTACGCATCGCTGGAGTTCACGCCTGACCACTGCGATTGTGCACGTTCCGGCCA